GAACATGTTGGCTATATCTCAGTATGTGATTTTTAAATAGTCCCTGTTTCAGAGTCAATCTTTCCTCATAAAATGTGTAAATTGTTACTACATACCTTGTGACTTTGACCAGAGTCCCAATAGAAGCACTATCCTAACGTAATTATCCACAATGTTCATTCCAGAAATGACTTAGTTGCTGAACTGGATGAAGGTACTTGAGGACACTCTTTTAATCCATAGTTGTTATACCTTTGTAAAATGTCTTCTTTATTTTTTTCATATTTCATTTAATTTTCCTTCTTTTATAATCCTATCTTGACTTTTACATTGTTTTAGTAACATTCTACTGAAGGGAAAAGTTTCCCTTATCAGCTGGATGTATTAATAATTCCCAAACTATGGTTCCTAATCAAAAAACAAGAAGGCAGGATCAATACTTCTATAACAAGAACTACTATTTCACTTTTCTCAAATGGCCACAGACCAAGAACCATGACTCCCAAGAATAGAGTATCTTGTCTGATGAAAGAATAGAATGATTATGTTCTTTTACCCAGTAATTTTATTTCTAGGAATTTATTCTAAGGAAATAAAAGGAATAGACCACAAATACATCAGCACATAATGTTCCTCTCAGTGTTTCTTAAAATAGCAACCCATCAAGAAATAAGCAGGAAAAAAATAGGGGAAAAATTCAAATCTCTATGAAAAAAGAATATATAAGTCATTGTTGGAGCACCCAACAGGATTAGTCTACATATTGGATCCTACAGCCCAATGTCAACAAGAGAAGTGATATCTTAAAATCATGAGACAAAGAAAGATCTCCATCCTTAAAATTCACTAATAGAGTCTTACTTATGTTTCTTATTTATTTGTTAGAAAAAATAAGAAATAGATTTCAATTAAAATTAAAATATATATTATATATTTATTTATTATGAACAATGTGTATTTCAAGAAATATGATGTGATTGGGATTCAAAGGTAAGTTTATTTTCATGAATTAAAATTTGAAATTCATGAATCTGGGGGATCTTTAAAAACTCATTGAAAATGTCTATTATAAAAATCTATACATGGATATAAGTGTTTTTGAATCAAAATAATCTCAATGCATTTTACATGAATTTCTTGAACTGCCATTGTACGTACTGTTTTGAAATATATACGCATTGTCTAATGGTTTAAGATAAAGTGAATTAACATATACATCATAATGCATATTTTTAAAAGTTAAAATTCCTTAAATTTCTCTCAAAAATTTTGGAGAAAACATTTTTAAGTATAGTCACCATGTTTCCCTTTTTTCTTCATCTTCCAAATCTTTCCTCTTTTATCCATTAATTATATAGCTATATTTTTCTTCACCTCATTAACATCTTTAAATTTGTTTTTTACTTCTGCAGCTTAGATGCTCTTTTCCTAGCTTCCTCATTGAAAGTTACTCCCCATTGTTATGTTTTAAGATCATGTATTATCCATTAGTGAGGACTTTCAAACTATTCTGGCTAAAGCAACCCTTGTCCCCTCCCCTGGGACCTATCACATTATTTTATTTTTTATTCAGAGCACTTCAAATATTTAAATCATTTTTACACAAAGCTATAATTTATACCACTTTCTTCAAATATGCTCTATGAGGGTAGAATTTTGCCATTCAGGTTACTCCAGAATATCAAATTAATTAATAGAAAAATCAGGTATGACAGCAGACTCAGAATGGCAATGTCCTAAACAGCACTCTGGCCTCAGAATCAGCTCTTAAGGCATTCGGATCTGGCTGAAAAGCCCATGAGAGTATTTCAGGAATGGAAAGCCAAGACACTCTGGCAAAAAAAAACCTAAATGAAAGATCTCTGAGAGTGAGATCCCAGTGGAAAGAACAGGTCTTCAAGGAAGGAGGTACCTTTCTCTGAAGGGAGGAGAGAACTTCCACTTTGACTATGACCTTGTATAAATATGATCAGAGTCAGTGAACTCAAAAGGCTTCCATAGCCTTGGCAACTCATGACAAGAGCCTAGGGAGATTACCGATGCCATAAACAAGAGTGTCAATTTGTTAAGTCACGTTTAGGAGTCACTGTGTACTTACTCCTCATGTAGGATCTCGGTCCTTAATGTGCTGTACATTGTGAATTAATGCTATAAGTAGTACTCAAACAGTATATTTCACTTTGTGTTTCTATGTGGGTGCAAACTGTTGAAATCTTTACTTAATATATGCTAAACTGATCTTCTGTATATAAAGAGAATTGAAAATGAATCTTGATGTGAATGGAAGGGGAGAGGGAGCGGGAAAGGGGAGGGTTGCGGGTGGGAGGGAAGTTATGGGGGGAACCCCATTGTAATCCATAAGCCGTACTTTGGAAATTTATATTCATTAAATAAAAGTTTTAAAAAAAAAGAAAAATCAGGATTGTGAATCTCACTAGCATCAACACAAGTTGACATTTAGCAGGTAGCCCCATAAAGAAAAAAATAAACTGACAATCAGAGCAGTTCTATTTGCTATGAAAGATTCAGATGTAGTCAGTAGTATATATAAAAATGTCTAACTTTGGCTGTCTGGGAAATTTTATCTGCTTCTCTAAAAGAAATCAAGATGTGATATATTTTAAGGGACTATAGCCCTTTTGCAGACATGGAAAGCATAGTTGATGGGCTGTGATTACTTGGGCACACAAGTATAAAAAATGGGTGTCTAATGCCTGAAGCACTAATTTACCAATCAGTACATATGGGTTTCAGAACTGGAGATACATGCAGCCTGTGATGGAAACAGTTTGGAAACACGTGAAGGAATAAAGAGGATGCAGTAAATCAGTGCTGAGAGATAATTTATAACCTTAAATGATTATGTTAGAATAAAACACTGGAAATCAATCATTACTGCTTCCTTGTTAATTATAAACAAAAAAAAATAAGAGTATTGAAGAAAAGCAAGAAAAAAGAACAGCAGACATGTATGAAATGCTATAAAATGTACCATAAATAAACAAGGACACAATGACTTTTTTTTTTTTAAGGAAAATGTTAACAAAGTTAATAAACCATTAGGAAAAAACAATTAAGGAACCAATGGGGAAAGTAACACAAATAACCAGTTTAGGAATTAAAACAGAATCATTCTTTTGTAGAGATCATAGGTTTGACCAAGATACTAGAGAAAGATATTAAATCCTTAGGAGTAAAATTTGACTACAGAGATCAATATCCATCCTATTTTGAAAATCAGTTTTCCAAAACACAAATATAACATAAAATAGAAAAATTCCTATATAACCCAAGTAAGTTGAATCACATTTTGAAAGCTCCGAACAGCCAACCCAGGAAGTCATGCAATGACAATTTCAGGTCCAGAATTAGAGAATACTTCAAATACTTCAAAAGAAAAAAACAAATTTATATTTCAAAAACCTACCCAAAGTGAAAATAAGCAAAGCCTATTTTTTAGTTTCTTTTGGAAAACCAGCATTACAGTGAGGATGGTGCAAGCAGGCCAGGACTTGAAATTTAAAAAAGGGGCTGGCGCTGTGGCACAACAGGTTAAAACCCTGACCTGAAGCACCAGCATTCCATATGGACACCAATTCTAGTCCTGGCTGCTCCTCTTCTGATCTTGCTCTCTGCTATGGCCTGGGAAAAGCAGAAGAAGATGGCCCAAGTCCTTGGGCGCTTGCACCCATGTGAGAGACCCAGAAGAAGCTCCTGGCTCCTGGCTTTAGATCGGTGCAGCTCCGGCTGTTGCAGCCATCTGGGGAATGAACCAGTGGATGGAAGACCTCTCTCTGTCTCTACCTCTCTCTGTAACTTTGTCTTTCAAATACATAAAAGAAATCTTTAAAAAAAAGAAATTAAAAAAATAAATATTTGGATCAAGACTTGAAATAAAAATTAAGTTTTTAAAAACATCTCTTTTATAACAGAGCTACTAGTATCCTCAGAAAAATATTTTTGTAATAAATGCAATCATAAGAAAATCTATCTATAGGAAGTAGGGACATAATAAAAAATGCAAGAGTGGTTAACATTCCCAGACAAGCCACCCAGGCAGGTAAAAAACACAAGAAGAAAATCCTATGGTCATTTAGATTCCATGTTGGAAAGCATTTAGTAAGGTTCAGCAGCTAGGAAAAAGAAAACTGCTAGCAGAGCAACAACAAAAAAGCCAGTGACTTCTTTACTGTAACTAAGAGTGAAATGAACCTACAACAAACGACGCAAATAATAAAGGGTCATTGAAAGCTTTTTTTTCCTTACAGTAAACCTAGGTCACAATTCATTCACTATCTCTCAGACTTTTTACTACAGGTGTAATAAAGGAAATAAAACAGCAAAAAGTAATTATATGGTATAAAGATCAATTTCCAAGTCATAAAATGTGAATATACTGGGTGATGTTTATATATGGAGATAATCCATAAAAATCTAAAAACTGATAAGTGAGATTACTGGAAGGATTATATATTCGTGTGTGTGTGTGTGTGTGTGTGTGTTCTACGAATTACTAAGTACTAGCAAGAAACAGAAAATAATAATAAAGGACAACAGGCAGACTAAAAAAAAGTGAAATTGGAGAAAAGGATTAAATTTTGTGATATCCTTAAATATTCTTTAAATCAATTCTTAAGAAACCACAGATGATTCAGCAGAAAAAAGTGTCACATAGATGATGAAAAAGAAAGGCTCTGAAGCCAATAAACAGCCATTAAATGGTACCTGACCTGAGTTAGTTTACTGCAACCTCCAAGCAGGATCCTCTCAGGAAGATACAGGTGGGAGCCCAGCGGTGAGCAGGACCAGAGAGAAAACTCCCACCCCTCGCTGCAGGGAGGGTGGCACACAAGAGGATGAAGTTTCAGAAATGAACCCAAGACTCCTTCTTGTTTCTGCCTCCAGCAAGACCTGGAGTTAGGCATCAGCGTTGTGGAGGATGCTGATTGGCTGCATCTTTTATGACATGGTGTCTTCACAGCTATGCAAGCTGTCCAATCAGGTGTGGTAGCATAAACGCTGGTAATCCCATGGAATCTTGACGCCGTAGTAGTCAACCAGTTCCGTGGCGGAGAGGCCTTAGGAGGGGCTCCAACACTCAGAACTCTGAATGTAGCCCACGTCCGTTGTTCTCGTACCTTCTTCCATCGCAGGAAGCTGCTCACCTAGGACCTCGGGACATGGTGTGTGGGGCCGAGCTCGAGGAGAGGGGAAGGCAGAGTGGGGAAGTTGTTAGAAAAGTCTGGCAGGATGTGGGCTTCCCAGAGGTTGTCGCTGGAGCCTGTAGGCCCCCTCTTGTTGCTGATAGGACCCTTCACTCAGCCCCTTCTGGCCTGCAGTATGGGGGCTGGACTGGCACCCGGCCCGGCGTCCTGTTCCTTTCCTGCTCACAGCCCAGGGGCCATCCCTGGGCAGCTGTTGGTGGCATCCTCTTGTCTTCCCCGATTGTGCAGTGGGGACGGGATGGTCATTATGGAGCATATGGGTTGTGTGCTGGGTTCCTGCAGCGAAGAGCTGTCATTTACGGGATCCACAGTTCCTCTCTTTTCCCCGGGGGTGACCGAATTCCCCAAGTTTTCTGAATAGTTCAGAAGCTGAGTCTCAGCTCATGGACCCTGACTTCTCAGCATAGCTCTTTCTGGGAGTCTGACCACGTTTTCTGTTGGTAATAACAGTGTCATAGACCAGGTAAGTTAATAAAACAGTTTTATTTTGATCAGGGTTTTGGTCGAGGTTTTAGAGGGATCAAGAGGACACTGCATTTTGGTATTGAGTGTCAGCTTAGCCTTTACATATTCTTTTACAGGCTGTCATCTGTCTCTGAACTTTCAAATAAGAAATTTTGGCTAGTCACATTTATGAATGTTTTTAAAACTGTTTCTGTTCCATGACAACCTTCACAACTCCAAAAATATAAACAGTTTCTTAAGTTAGTTTTAATTTTTATTTTGGTGTATGGTGATTGTTTTCAAAGTTATTGGAGTATAATTGATAAACAAAATTTGTATATATAAAAGGCCTGCGAGTTGATGTTTTTATATGTGAGGAGACTTTTTAAAAATCTATGAAAATTTCACTGTTTAATCCTGTTTTTCATAAACCTTTTGGAGTTCCCTTGTACATATACATTCTGAAATGATTAGGACAATCAAACTACCATACCCATCACCTTACATAGAAAACCTAATGCCTTAACAAGTTGTGAGTATCTAATCATATATTCATAACATTTCTGGGCTGTACATTATCTCCTAACTGTAAATATGTGTCGTTCAACTAACATCTTCCCATTTCTTCATTCTCAGCACCTAGCAACCACTATTCTCTTCGGTGCTTAAGTTTGACTTTCTGAGATTCCATAAATAAGGGAGACTGTGTGGTATTTATCTTTCTGTGACATTTCAATCAGCCTAATGTCCATATTCATACTTTTCAATCCAGATTGTGACAAAATGTCAGAATTTCCATGTTAATGTTGAATGTGATTCCATTGTGTGTGTATGGCAGTTTCTCTATTCATCTGTTGATAGACAATGTTTATTTATATATCTTATTCTATGAATAATGCTCACATGAACATGGTTGTGCAGTTGTATCTTTGAGGTAGTGATTTTATTTCTTTAGATGCACATCTGATAGTGGGAATGGTTTATTATTTGTTAGTTCCATTTTTTAATTTTATTTGAGACACCTCCATAGTGTTTTCCATAGTAGATGTACTAATTTACATTTCTATTTATAATTTATATGTTCCCTTTTCTCCAATGTTGATTCAATATTTATGTTTTTTACCTTTTTATAATAGCTATTTTTACATATGTGAAGTCATAACCATTGTGGTCTTGACTACCAGTGCTGAGCCCCTTTTCAAATGCCTGTTAGGTGCTTATGGAAAAACTGATCATATCCTTCGCTCATTTCTTATTATGATATTTTCTTTTGAATTGTGTCTCTTCTTTATATTAATCCCTTAATCAGCTATGATTTGCCAGTATTTTCTTTCATTCCTTTCTTTCACTTTTCAGCTTTTCCTTTAGTATGCAGAATGTTTTTTACTGTTTTGCAGTCTTACGTCCTTATTTTTGCTTTTGTCACCTGTACATTTGGTGTCATACCTAAATCATTATAAAAATCTGGCAAAGTCACAGTTGTAGACGTTTGTGAAGTGAGTCAGTGGATGGGAATGTCCTCTCTCTCACTCTCACTCTCCCTCCCTCTCTCTGTTTGTTTTTCTGTGTGTCTCTTTTTCTTTGAAACTAATTAATTAAGAAATTCTTTAAAAACTTCATAGAATAATGGGTACCAAATCAGAGTTAGGTGATAGTGACTTCCTTGTGTTACATAGCATTGTGGGGTGACTATAGTCCACAGTAATCTATCCCATATTTTATGAACAAATAGAGGAAAGGTGCTCCAAGGCCCTGATTTTGAAGTATAATGTCAGAGAAGGGAAAATGTTGTTTACTCTGATTTATTTAGTACACATCGTATGCATGAATTAAAATCTCACACTGCAGTCCATAGGTATGTATAATTATTGTCAACAAAATAAACTTAAAACATCATTCTTGGCGTATAACATTAAGGGGTATTAAAATATTAAATTAGTATCACAACTAAAATTATGATCATTGGAAGTGGTTTATTAATACAAACATAATCTAGAAATACATGAATTGGCATTTTTTTAAAGATTTATTTTATTTATTTGAAAGTTACAGAGAGAGGCAGAGAGAGAGAGAGAGAGAGAGACGTATTCCATGCACTGGTTCACTCCTCAGATGGTCGCAATGGACAGAGCTGAGCTGATCCAAAGCCAGGTGTTTCTTCTGGGTCTTCCACATGGTTGCAGGGGCCCAAGGACTTGGGCCATCTTCTGCTGCTATTTCAGGCCATAGCAGAGAGCTGGATCAGAAGAGGAGCAGCCAGGACTAGAACCGGTGCCCATATGGAATGCTGGCATTCAGGCCAGGGCTTTAACCCACTGCGCCACAGCACCAGCCCCATGAATTGGCAGATTGTCATTCTAAGTGTAGTGATTAGGAGGCAGTACTTTACCTTAAATTGGTGATTAGTACTTTTTTTTAACATTTTTTATTTTTTAAAATTTTTTATTTTTATTTTTGACAGGCTGAGTTAGACAATGAGAGAGAGAGAGAAAGGTCTCCCTTTTTCCTTTGGTTCACCCCACAAGTGGCCGCTATGGCTGGCGCATTGTGGCTGGTGCACTGTGCCAATTCGCAGCCAGGAGCCAGGTGCTTCCTCCTGGTCTCCCATGTGGGTGCAGGGCCCAAGGACCTGAGTCATTCTCCACTGCACTCCTGGGCCACAGCAGAGAGCTGGACTGGAAGAGGAGCAGCCAGGACAGAATCCAGCATCCCAACTGGGACTAGAACCCGGGGTGCCTGCGCCGCAGGTGGAGGATTAGCCTAGTGACCCACGGCACCGGCCGAGTACAACTTTTAAATTGTTTCATATAAGAAAAATGAAGTATTTTTTAAGTGTATATGGAATTAATTTTAATTAGGGCAATATCACAAGAAATATGGAACTAAATTGTAGGTTAATTTTGGTGCAAAATTTTATTGAAAAACATGCATAGTTCTTTCATACTAAACAATGTCCATGAATTGTAAGGCCTTTGTATTTATGGGTTTAAATATTTTTGAACAAAAATGAGCATATTTTAATTTTATGTTCCAGAAAATATGTGGAACCTCCTCATATTTTTCATCTTATTTCCTTCTGTGAAGCCCAAACTCAGTCTGCCCAGTCCTATGTCATATTTTCAGTGAATATTCTATGGTGGGTGCTGTGTTGCAAGTTATGTAATCATAAGCACATTCTAATATAAACACATTTCCATTAATCCCAAATGCTTCATATTATTTATAGCACTCCTCATTAACCATCAGCCCCAGCACAGGCATTAATCTAAACTCTATCTCTAGAGATTGACCTTTCCTGGACAGTCATAATGGGAAACGGGATGTTAGAGTATATGGGGATGGCTTTGAGTTTCTTCTCTTTCTTTGTCTTTTGAATTTCAGTATTTTGTGATCATTTCTTAATTAAATTTGATTGTCAAATAGTATAGGATTATAAAAAATATACTAAACACTGCTTTCTTTACATATCAGTATTTGTGTTGTTTTCACATTTGGCTTCATAAATATTGCTTCAGTATTCATGTGCCTATGGATTTTGTATCTCTTAGTGACATACCTGACAGAGAAACTGCTGAAGCAACAAGTAATCCCATGTAGAGATTGCTGGAAAACTGTCAAATTATTTTCATAGTGGCTGTAATATTTTACTGGGAATGTATGAGGGTTCCCTGTTCTCCACATCCATGTCAACATTTATCTATAGTGAATAAGAATCATTTGACTTAATATGAAGTGCTATCTTCCTGAGGTTTTGATTTACATTTCCACAATGATTTATATTAAGCATATATTTTTGCAATATTAAAATCTCTTACTGAAATCAATGCTTCATTTAAAAATTGTACATTATTTTTTGTAATTTTTAGTATAAAATTCGAGTTTTTTTCTTAAATTTCTTGTGATATTTTCACTCTTTGATGCTACCTTGAATGTTATTGTTAATTATTTTTTTAGAATGTTCATCACTGTTAAACAGAAATATAATTGATATGTATATCTTTATATTCTGCAAAAATGCTGAATTACTGTATTTTTGGAGGGGAGTTTAGTGACTTCCTCAGGATATATTTTACATATAAGACTATGTGTTGAGTATTACAAGTCAACTTTCCTCTCTTATTTGCAATCTGGAGTTTTATTCTTTTGCATTGTTCATTTTTTTGGTAGAATCATCCATTACACTGTTGAATAGAAGTGCTAAAATTAGCAGTCTTATTCCCATTTATAAGAGTTTACTGTAAATTTTCCATAGGTGCCCTTTCTGTGGTGGAAATTCTCCTCAATTAATAGATTGTTTAGGGTTTTAATCATAAATTGAATTTAGTCAAATTTTTCTCTATTGAGTTTATCAAATCTTGATTTTCTGATTATTACATTAAATATTTACCCTTAGTATTTTTTATTTTTTAATTTGAGAGGCAGGGAGAGGTAGAGCTCCTATCTTCTGGTTCATTCTGCATATGTCTGTGATGACAGATCTGGACTGGAGATAAAATCCTGGCCTCCAATGTTGG